AAGCAGCTAGCTAATTGCACATCATTTTTTAACAAATAAATTATTCCTCAGTCAAATTTTTTTGGATTAAAATCTTGACAAAAATGTCATATGCTGAAGTTTACTTTTTATTTCCTGCTTGTCATTTATAAGCTGGATTTTCGTGTATTTGACTTTTCTTTATTATAATGATGTTTTCTTACTTCCTTCATTTATGCTTTGTTATCTTCCTATATTTTTTCGGTAAAAGAGTACTTTTATTGGTGACAACTGTCTTATTTATTAATAAAGTATACTTCTTATCATCGTTTAGATGTGCATTTCTTTCTTTGTTTCATTTTTTTATTTCCTTTTTCCGTTTCATTTCACTTTTCTTACGTGAAAATACCTGCTACCTAAATTTACCCCTTCATGGAAGTTCTCATCGCAAGAAAACTTTTGATGAATCATGTACAGCAGGAATTTTAAAAGAAGAGTTTCTGACAATTAAGAGGATACGTAACATTTGCAAGGTATTTCCTCCCTGCTTTACGCAGCCCACCAGCGGCCGAGTGGTAAAGTCGCTGAACACTGGTAACTCGGTCCGAGGCTCGAATCCCGCGAACGGTCTGGCTGCATGGGCGTTTTATCGTTTTCCTCGTGTGTAACTTGTATACGAGCTAGTTTTCCCTAGAAAGTCCTCCACAAGAGCATCCCTCTCCTTAGGCAGATAGCCTTCATGGATTTGCCTTAATTACATACACCAACACCCTCCTTTCCACATAACTTCGTGATGTAGCTGGAAGCACGCTTGACGCATACTCGAAGTCCAAAGTTCGAATCTCAGCGAGGGCACTGTGGATTTCTTTAGTTTCTTGACATCGAAAAATTCTAAAGATTCTACAGGTGGCTCCAGAACTAAAAGATGGTGCACGATAATTCGTCACCATCAGGATTTAGTGAATTCGCTCTTTAAAAGTGGAAGTTATAAAGTACTTTTTCCATCTTTTCTGTATGCCTTGGCGGTGCAACTGGAAGTACTCTCGACGGCTATTCGGGAGGTCTGGATTTCAAATCCCAGCCAGGGCATTTCGAATTTCTTCAGTTTCCTGACATCGAAAGTTTCTAATGACTATACTCGTTTATTAAGTTATCTCTAAACGTTAGTGTGAATAATTAAAAAAACTAGTGTTTTTATCATTAATATTCTGTACCTCGTTTAGCACTTACACGATAAAGAGTATGTTTTAGATTAATGTTCCATTAAATGGTACATTTTCTTATTTTTAATAAATCTCGAAAGTCTAATTATTATCAAATGACAATAATAAATAAATGTATTAATAATATTCGACAATTTAAATTTCTACTCAGAGCAAGGCGTTGTGAAAAATTTCGGTGCATCCAAAGGCAAGATGTTTACTTTATTCCACTAAAATTAAGCTATTTTACGAATAAATTTGACAGATTCTACAAAAAGTACTAAAGATTTCGGGACATTTACTTACGATATGCAAATTGTTACTCTTAACACTTACAATATAACGAAAAAAGATACGGGTATTCGGTATGCAATGCATGGCGAAAATTTATTAGTAATTACAATTATTAGAGGAAAGGAAATGAAAATAGGAGTGTCTATAAACTTAAATAAAAATAAATAACACAAAAAGAAGTTTATAGTATCTACACACAGTAGTAGTAAGAATTTGTTGGATTCAGCACGTGAAACAGTCATTGGGAGCTTGAATTCTGTCAGAATCCTTGTTCTGCAGGTACTCAGGCAACAACTCTGATAACTTTGACTCCGTTTCATCTTGATCATCGAAAAGGTTCCGGTGATAGCACATTCTTCAATTATATGTTTCAGTTGTCATCCAGTAGCTTTAACTGATTGGTATAGGCACTTCATACATAGCGCAGAAAAGGCTTAAAGAAACACCTCTCCTGCTGAAACGCATAAGGCTTCATGACGTCATTTTCAAGCACCATGGAAAGTAGAAAATGAAATTTTTTAACAATAATAAGATTGGGAGTATTTTAATTATATAAATAAGATATCTGTTTCAAATAATAAATAAACATCTAAATTATTAAGGAATGCATTTATTGCTTTTAAATGGCTCAGTTTGTTAAGCAGTTACGTATTGGTTAAATTTGAAAATTGTCTCAAACATCTTATTATTTGCAGAATGACAGCACTAGTTAGGAGTTAACGTGTAAAAAATAAATTAAGCATGTTATATTTGGCTTAGGATAACATTTTCCAAGTCAAAAGGATGATATAGCGTAACGTAAATACCTAAAAAATTTAGAAAGAATTCGACAGTGAGGTTTCTAAAGCCAAAATGTCTTAGAATGCTATTTGAATTACGATTCTTTTCTTGTAAGTGAAAAAAAATATTATTGTGTGAAGGTGTTTCTTCTCGGTTCATGAATTTCTTGACAGAAGATACATTCTTATTTCCAATGAGCGAATCTGGATTTTCTTTGCTCCAGAAATGCATATATTTTGACACATTCCTTGTAAAGTACCTAGAACAATTACATTTATTCGAGCGTCCAATTATAAAGGCAACGTTTCATTCATGGTATGCCTTGTCTTTCTCAACTTCATGTTTGATGGAGCAATTTTTGTTTAAAGATTCATGTTAGAAACTTTCCTTCAGAATGTAAAGCTTACCTCAGAAAGTTTTCTTTCCGCAATTCTTTTTCTTCTTTCTTTCTTCCTTTTTTCCCCCCTATTTCGAACCTTAGTTTCAAACTTCTTATAGTTGTTAGAATCGTAGATATATCTCAAAACTGCCGGTTCTCTTCCATTTCACTGCATTGAAAGTTGATAAGAATTTCTTAGTTTCCCAGGAATTATGCAAATTATGTTCATATTATACATATTGTATTGGGATAGCTAAAGGTTTTTTAGCTTTCTTATTATATATTCACTGAGTACAACTTTTAATTTCCTACTAGAAATTTACCTTTAAATTCCTAAATCGGTTAAACGTTTAAACGTAAGAGGCTTTGTTTTCCTGTATCACTAATGTCTCATAAGATAATCCCTCTCTCTTTTCCACACGCCTTTTCCTGACATCGAAAAATTATAAAAGTGTCTGCTATGGAGCCCGAATTAAAAGGTGGCGCATGATAATTCGTCACAAACAGATCTGGCTATTGGCTCCCCACATCCCCAGCCACCCTTTAAAAGGGGGATTATACATGGTATTTTCCCCCTCTTTCTGCATGGCTTCGTGTCTTCGTGGAAGCACACTCGATGCGTATTCGAGAGGTCCGGAGTTCGAGTCCCGGCGCATGTAATGCACATTTTTCACGTTTCGACATTGATGTGCTCTAATGATTCTACAGTCTAAACTAATCACTTTCAGTTTTCGATAAGACTAAAAGACATAAGACTCTTCTTTTTGCTTAAATACTTAGAACATTTTGAATAATCTTAATTTCAGCGCAATAAAAAGAAAATTGTTTGAAATACTGAAATTAGCATTCTATATAAATTAATTAAATACGAATTATTTACAGAAGGGCAGTAGCATTAAGAAAAAAGGACAATGTACTTTAACATGCTGGGTATTTTAACATTAATAGAGAAAACTACATAATAATTACTTGCAAACTGTTTTCTCAAAACTAAGCTACAGTAGTTTTCATAGAATATTTAGTGGACATCATAAGACCATTGTTTGACCTAATTTCAATATAATAATGTAAACAAAAAGTTTAGAAATTCGTGATAGTGAATAAGTAGAATAGTATAAAGAATTAAGTCTTTATACTATTCTACAATGCAACGTTTGTTTCGAGGCACGTTGCCCAAAATCTTCGGTTTGTGGAAAGAAAAAGCAATAAATGAAACACAGGGTAACTAATTACAGGCAATTCTCGATTTAATTGAGGCGGACTAACCGTGTCCTGACTGAAAAAGATTAAATTTATTTATATGAGAAAGATGAAAAAAATTTCTATCACACGCTTACGTGAGTTTGCGTTCAAAGAGCATGGTCAAATTCTATTGTAAGTATTATCTTTAATTATATTTATAAATAAATTATTGCATTTCTAACAATATTTACTTTTTCTTCATTTAAAGGTTTTTCATTTTATTTCGTTTAGGCCGACTTAATTTACACAACCAAGTCTAGAATATGCTGGTTAAAATATAAATAAATCGTTAAAAGTAATTTTTCACCCGATTATAATACATGTATTTTTCTCTTTTCTGTGTATTTTTAACTGCTGTTGCATTAACTGCAGATGTCGTTGCCTGTATTACCCCAGTAAATTTAGATTTCACTCTAACCTGTGCATTGAAATCAGCTTACTTTCTGGATTCTAATAAAAATAAGAAATATCGGCTAGGTCTAATTATAACCTAGGCCAACAAGACACCGGCTAAAGATCACAAAATCATTCTACAGTTCCTCATATTTCTCATGAAAACTACAAGAGCAATAAGAGTTCTAAAAAACGCTAGTGTTTATTTACGTTACTTGCCTTTTCGACTAGAATGAGACATATTTAAAACTACTGCTCCAAATAGGGTGAAAACGTGTGAAAAAGTAAGTTTCTAATTATTATAGTTTTCGTGTAAACACCATTACGAAATTTTACTCTCGACACATGGACAGCTAGGCTAGTTTATCAGAAACTTTTCCAACTCTGTTGCAGCCGGAAGACCTCTTACAGATTCTGAATAGAACTGGCCACTTAATTTTTGCAAGGAAACACAGTGACACCGCTTCCGCACAATGGACAGACATCAACAGTAAGTGAAATCGAGAAACACTAGTGGTAGCCATTTTCATCTCGACCGGTAGCACACGACCCGCACCTGACCAGCGCTGTGCCCGCTGGAGCGTGTTGTACTAGAAGAGAAGGAAACGAGAAAAACTCCTGGAGTGTGTCGAAAATTACCCCAAAATTGAGATCAAAAACCATCGCCGTGCATCTCCCCCGGGGCCTGGAACCTTTTCGACACGGAATGCCCGAAATTCAGGTCAATGCCAAGGCTGAAGACGATTCGTTGGAATGGAGAGTCGGTTCGAGGTGACGTTGGAATCTCGCACCACACACGATTCACTTATCCTTCGGACGAAGAATCGCTCGGTGATCACTCATTGGCCACGTACAGTCCAAAAACCAGAGAGGGAAGTTTTGATTTCGGTGTTTTTAATCCTCATGCGGACTTTCTAACAACCATTTTTGTGTGCGCTAATTTTGAATTTTCGCTATGGATTGGATTTACGTGGTAAGATTCCATTTTTAGATGAATTTATATGTCAGTTTTTCATTCAAAAATAAAAAGTTTTATTGATAAATGAACACTAGAAGAAAATCTCAAATAACTTTTAGTCTTACAATATTTGCAAAATCCTCATCCAAAATTATTTCTATTACTTTATACTACAGTGTTCGCTATCAGTAAAACTTTAATATTAAAAAATACTGTAAAATCGAAAAAACAAAATAGCCAATGAACAATAATTAGCCAAAAAATTCCCAATTTATTTTACTTTTTCTTTTCAATAGCAAAACAATGTTCAATAACAAAAGACAAATTATTATTTTTTAATTCATTAATATTTTCATTTTCTTTGCATTGTAAAGCTTGAATTATGACATCAAGAAATAATAATCAAAAATATTTTTAACCTAAAATATTTTACAAAATATTACTTTTTAACTTCTAAATTAAAGGAAAACGTATAAAAAATAAATTTTTCAAAAGTATATCTCTCTTTAATTTGCAATGGTTCCGTTTAAATATGCTGCTTTAATATTAATATACGCTTTCAGTTCGATATGTGCTTTCTTTTAACATTTCATTTAATTTAGAAGTCTTGTGCTTCCTTTAATGCATTGAAGTTATTCAGAAGTTTTGTATACTTGTTTTCCAAGAGAAATTTAATTTGGCATGATAGTATGTTGCAAAATAGATTGCAAATTATTGATATTTAAAATTTTTTTAATAAAGGAATCAAATTATTCTGTTAGTAGAAAAACAGATACCTAACAGATATTGTAAAAATGAAAAATTCTGTCATTTTGAAGGAAAAGTTAACTAAAAGGTGCAGTTACGTCGGTATATTCAAACATGGTTTCTTCTAAAATGACAAGAATATGAACTAATTTAATAACACATCTTTCCGCATTCTGAACTGCATGCGAAAAATCTGAAAATTTAAATTTGACTACAGTTTTCTAAATTATTTCCATTTTTGTTTCCACTAACAACTAGCTACTACTTCATTTTAAAATCATACTATTTCCTGTTACACATGCTTTCATTTTTCGTAAAAGTAGTTTATTATCAATAGATTTGTTTATTTCAATCTGTTAAAAATCGGTCCACCAGCGGTTTCGAGTCCCGCAGAACGGGGTGGCTGCACGGGCGTTTTCGTGGTTTTCCCCATGTGTAATGTGGATAGGAGCCACGTTCCCTTAAAAAGTCCTCCATGAGGAATCCCTCTCCTTCTGTGTAGTATCCAAGGAGAGTACATATTAAGTAAAAAAAATATATAAATATCTTATCGCTGATCGCCTATATCCAAGAGCACTAATGACACTTCGAATAATTTCACGTTTACTTTTAATGCAAACTGTTCTTTTAATCTGTTTCTAATTGTAGGATATTTTTTTGAATTTGTATAGATAAATCTCTTGATTCCTTTGTATTGAGATGTGGTTCAACATTTCCACGCAATTTCCATCGTTTTAATAACATTAAATATAGTTGAAGCCTTAACATCCTGGATTATTTGTCTAATTAGAAAACTTCTATCGTCTTTAAAATGATGAATTACTAGCCCAAAGAGGGTTAGCTCATAACCGAAGTTTAGTTTTCGTTAGTTTCGAAAGGCATTTTGCATCGAATCACGAAAAGCGCTGAATCACTTTTCAAATTGTTGCTACCAAATTTTATAGCCCTGCATTACATTAAAAGAAATTAAATAATGAAGAATCTGCATGAATGTACGCATGTTTCTTGTTTGTGAAAAAACAACGGTACCTAGAGCCATCAAGTTTTGAATAACGTAGTCCTCCATCCAAACATAGGCAGCTGGAAGACCGAATTTGGAATTTATTTGATTACCTATTTCATATTTTGTAGAACTATAGCGAATTTTTGATTAAAAGATTCAACGATTTCAAAGCGAGCAACAGCAACACTGTACAGAATAAAACATTTTTATCTCCAGCGCGCGAGACTGTCTATCAGAAATTCTAAATATATGCTGCTTTTAAATATTTTTAGCCCAAACTTTTCCGAACGTGTATGTGTGTGTAAATGAAAATATGCCCCTTTATACCTAATATAAAATTTGGACAGCTTTTCAGATTTTTTAAAAGATTTTTAGCAGAACGTTTCTTTTAATTGTAGAGTCTTCCATATCCATTCAAAAATGTAACCTTTAATATATTTCGCTAAACAAGTGAAAATTTCTAAATGAAAATGATAATTCTTATGTTCTATTTTAGCTTAAAACATAAACATCTGATAAGAAACAGCGTTTCCAAAACACCTTACAAGGCTTTAGAGTGTCCGAATTTTTTATGAATTATAGAATAACACTTTACATGGCATATTTTGATGATATTTACTTTGCTACAAGAAATGCGTAAAAAATGAATATATTTAAAAGTCTGAAGTCTATATTTGAATATTTAATACAAGATCTATGCAAATAAATTTTTAAAAAATATATAAGTAACCGAAAACAAACGTGAGCCAGTGTACGTATTAACTGCAAAGCAATTCAGGGAATTTACATTTTCTCTTGCCGTATTTTACATCAAAGAAGATTATACAGATCCATAAATTAAGTATTTTCTTTACCATAAATATAATAATATTGTAAATATATGTATATATATATTATTCTAATTCACTAGTTACTTGTGTAACAGAACTCTATACTAATTTCAGATTTTTAGGAACTCAATTATCTGAATTGCTGACTCATTCTAAATCAAGAAAGATTAAACTCGCTATTCATTCTCATCCGTTCGAATACGCAACGTTTTAACAATTTTTTATTTTAATGCCATAAATTGATTACGATTGTTAAAATTTACAATACCTTCAGAATACATTTAATTGTTATGTGAATATATGTGATACGAATTTGCGACGCGCTTATAATCTACACTTAAAATTTATTATGGGTTACGTGTTTCTCATTTTATCAATATTTTACTTACTACCAATATTTTACTTTATATAATATACTCTTCATTTTATTAATCTCAGTTGTTATTTTCATGTAATCGAGCATCAATAAAATTATTCCACTTGAGCGCGATTATACATTTACTGTAAATTTATATAAGACTTGTTTTTTAATTTTCTTTCATTCAATTAATATAAAAATTTAGTAAAAATTTAGTATATATTAAGAAGCTAGCCAGTTTAGTTGAACTAGTTCAATTTAGATAAATGACAAATAGCTTGGCCTGTAATATATGTAGGCCAGACTTTCCCATTAATCCTTGTAGGAAATGAATGGGTTTTAAACTGTTAACAATAACATTTCAAACAAATTTAAATCAGTTGCATACTGTATATAAAACTTCTGTAAAAAGTAAATCTTATAGTCTCAGTCGAATAGAAATAGAACATGCGATTGTTATGCAAATAACGATAACTCCTCTGATTAATTTTAGTACAAAAAATTAGAACAGAATTGTATATTTTGCTTTATAGCCTAAGGAATGTTAATTTCATTTCTATATTTTACTTAAAATTAGTCGGATATTTAGGCAAGTAAAAATGATTTCATTGCTCAGAATCTACATGTATTATAATATTATTGTTATACAATATATACGATTATTATTTAAAATATGTAACTTTTATCAGGTACTTATATTATCATCAGAACACTACCTATCCAAGGTAAATTCTAAACTTTAAATTATTTGTACTTGCCTAAGCATACAATTATTTTAAGTAAAATGTAGAAATTAAATTACGTTTCTTTGACGTAAGCGATAAAATTAAATACACAATTTTATTTAATTTTTATTGTACTAAAAACGATTGAAGTAATTATTCTTTAGTCTTATAAAGCTAAATACATAACTTCATTTTTTTCAAATGAAGTTTAATTAAGACATTGATTTTTCCAGCAGGCTTATATACTGTATTTAACTGTTTTAAGTTTATTTGAAATATAATTGCTTAATTGTTTAAAATCTATATAATTGCCTATAAACTTTGATGAGAAAGACTGATCTACGTATATTGTAGGCCAAGCTACTTAACATTCATTTAAATTAAATGACTTCAAATAAGTTAATCAAATGTAATCACATTTTAAAAATACGTATTGTATTTTATTACATTTTTATACATTGTTTAAATGAACAGGATTTTTCTTTTAAAAAAACCTCAAATTAATTTAGAGAAAGTGTATAACCACGATCAGTGGAATATATTTTTATTGATACTCGATTAAATAATTTAAGAGATTAATTAATAAGAGAAATTAATTTTAATAAAATAAACCAATATATTAAGAACTAAAATGTTTAAAAAATAAGAAAGACGCGAGTAAGTTTTATGTGTAGATAATAAATGAGATTACAAAATATATGCGAAGCGATGTCGTATTATATTCACACCCGTAACAATGAAATTCCTCCTGAATAATATTGCAAATTTAACTATTGTTGCCAACGCAGGGCAATGGAATTGTCACTTATTTATACACCGAGAACTAAGCATAAGCTTAATTTTACTTACTTAGAAAGAATCAACGATTCGGATAATTAGAGTTCCAGATATCGTGAATTTGGAAAACTAGAGATTAATGTTCTACAAGCGATTGAAAAAAACGCACGGGTATTTCTTACTAAAGAAACTACCAGAAAATTTCTGAGCTTCTAGTTGCTATGTATACCAAAGTAGAATGATTTAATTCTCGTTCTTGGTAAGCCGATGCTGATGTAGTTTAAGTCAGGCAATATTAAAATAACGATGATCATATGGCAAATAGAGTGAAAAACGGGTAGTTCTGTGAGATAGTTCTTTACCTTATGACCTGCTATTATTCTCGTCGAAGCGGTCATTTCATTGTTCTCAGCCGTTATTTATTCTAATTATGTTACATACTGAACCATAAAACTCGCCCAATAATCTTTGAAAAACGAGATTTTTATCAAAAGCCACATGTTTGAATTTTAATTACACAGAATGATTATTCTTGTAGCTAGGTTAGATACGTGAGTCTTCATAACAGCCTAAGT